CTAATTCACAGCAACTAACAAGGAGTTCCGTGAAATTATAGGGTATTCCAAGAATTCTATGATTGATCCGAAAATGTCAGAAGCGTTGATTCCCTGAGAAAATTTGCTTCAGGTAATCATTGATAAATTCAGGGAAAATTAGCGAGTGTTAATAATGGTTATAATACAGGAAAGTTTTCGAAACTTCAAGGCAAATTAATTAATTTCAGTAAAGTTGCGGGTTCCTAAAAACTACTGATAAATTCAGGGCAGTCTAGAGAACTTTAAAGAAATTCAGCAATTGTTTAGGCACCAGGAAAGTCTAGACTATTGAAGAAGTTTTAAATTAGTGTCTATAATTTAAGGGAAATTTTATGAACTTCTGAAAAATCTTGAGAACGGCAGTGAAAATCATAGAACTATATTAATTATTTCGTTCTAATTCCATTGCGGGACCACAAAAGTTCCAGAAATTTAGAAAAACTTTGGAAACTTTACAGAAGGGCAGTGGTCTTCTGAAAGATTACTTCATAGAAATCTATGGAGCTTAAGATGAGATCCACGAACTTCAGGAAATTTTATGAACATTAGCAAAATGCGGGAGCATTTGAAAGAAGTTTAGTAAACTCCGAAAATTGGAGGAATTTCAGGGGAAGGTCAGTTCCATTAGTTAAAGAAAATTAGTGGGGAATTCGAAACAGTTCCCAGATTTTCAGATAACTTCAGAGACATTAAAAAGTTATTTGAGGTCTGCGCATAAGTTCTAAAGCTTAAACATTTTTGGGCCGATTTAATTAAATTCAGCGCCGTACAACAAGCTTCATGAGAACTACAAAAACTTTAGAGAAGTTTTGTGAATTTCAGAAAAGAACAGAACCTCAAAGCAGTTTCGTTAACATTAGAGAATTCAAATAAATTTTAAAGATGTTTAGAGAACTTCAGCGAATTGTTAAACCTTTAAAGCAGATCCATGATCGTTAAAAAAATTGAGGAAACTTTAGGAAGTCATATAAAGTTCAGAATTTAAGGATAATTATTGTGAGCATAAGACTAGTTTATCAAACTACAAAAGAACTTCAAGACAGTTTCATTAACTTCAGGAAAAATTTGAGAACTTTCAAGTGGTTCTGAAGACCTTAAAATTGTCCATTCCATATTCAACGGCGATTTCCTCAAAATCTCGATGAAGCTATCTTCAGAATTAAATTTTCTTTTAGTTTTCCTCGGAATTACCTCGAAATTCTCCACAATTAGAAAGCCTTTGGACAGATTCTTCGAGTATTCATTGAATTCATTTCAGAGTCCCTTTTCAATCTCGCTCCTTCCCTTGGAATTCTACTCACATTGAAAGGCTCCTAACAATTCATTGGCATTTCTCCTCAGAAATTCCTTAGATTTCTCATCATAATTTGTTTGGCAAACTCTCCTGAATCTATTTTCCGAATTCCTTTGAAGATGTTCTGGAGTTACCTCATATTTAATTGTAATCCTCCTTTTAGTATTTTCAAAAAAATTCCAAGGACTTGTGCTCCTTATTAATTTTTTCCCACAAACTTTATGAAATTATCCTCAGAATGCCCTTGGAATTTTCCGGTGAAGTTCACAAGAGTTGTGCTCCGCAGAAATTCCTAAGATTTTTCATTAAAATTTACTTTTAACTCAATTCAGGGTTTCTTGTAATTCTACTTAAAACTAAGGCTTCACATGAAATCTAAAATTCCTCAGAACTACCTCGAAAATAGATTGCATTTGATGTTGTTCTGAATGATTTTTTGCCAGATCTCCCTTGGAATGAGGTCTTAAGAAATTATAATAAAATTCCTCGAGTCTTTAAAACTATGCATGGAATTTGACTCCAGATTCTTGAAAATTTCTTAAAGTATTATAGCTGTTAAGTCCAACTTTTTTTAGGAAATGTACATGTTCCCAAACCAAAAACAAATATTTTTTTTTAAATTTATTTGTTACTGAAGATTAATCCACTGTAAATCTTTAACAATTAATTTTTAAATTTGTCGAACCTCTTAACGGAATCCCTTTATAAAGAGCTTTGAGTGTGTTGGTTTATTTCCTTTTAATTCCGTTATAATTGCTTATCTTTTGACAAATACGCGAATTTCGTCTACTACTTGCAGACTTCATCAGTGCCTAGTACTCAAAAGATAAGCAATTATAACGGAATTAAAAGGAACCATTACACTCAAAGTTCTTCATAGAGAAAAATTAAATGGTTGTATTTTAAAATTCTTTATTTTCGTTAAAATATCATTATTATAGTATTTGAGACTTCCAGGTATTTTAAAGAAAGTATTTTAAGGAAACAAAAAAAAAATCCTGAGGATTCCCTGCTTTCCAGATTTTTTAAGTTACCAATACCGTGGGTTTGGTTATAAACTTTCTATTGAATCTTTTGCTTTAAAGGTTCATATCGTACATAAGTGTTTATGAGATAATAATTGAATAAGTCTAAAACATCAAACATTTATTTGATGCGCTTTCTCTTAGGTCACTTTTTAGTCACTATTTTTACAAGTATAAGTCACTATTTGGTCACTTATTTATTCAACGTGGTCACTAAAATCACTATTTCTGACAACAGTGATTGCTACCATCCCTGTGATTAACGCCGACGTTGACATCAAAGCAGTCCGACATTCGGGATATGGATTTAATCCAAGGATAATACCGGTTGAAGCTTACCACCATAAGTGCTCTTCTGTTAACCTATGCTAATGGACTACTAGAAAGATCAGCACCTAGTACATAGAAAATTTGGTCCACGTCTTCATGTTGCTAGACTTTAACCTAAGAACAGAAGTGGAATTTCGGATCAGAAAGTGACTACACTTTTGATTGGCGACCACTAGCGCACCTAGCGGTAGAAGGCATCTTCTGCCTACAGTTAAGTTATGCAGCGTGCTATCATAGTGTGTGTGCGCATAGAACTGATTCGTTTGCACTTCCCCTTCAATTCTGTGCGTGAAGTTTTTTTTTCTACACCATGTTATTCAAATGGGAGCTGGATTCCTGGGTACCCCGTGACGCACATAACGCTGAACTGGTTACGCGGTCCATAGAATACCTTATTCGTAGCTAAATTAGCAAAGTATATGTTAGTAGATCCAAGATCATTTGAAAATCTCTCTATAAAGCTGATCAATCTGGTATGACAAGTAATGTTTTTGCAGTTCGTTTATTTGGAAGGCCGAATTGCGTTAGCTTTTCGGAGCCGATATTTCAATGTTTGTAGTTTAATAAGAATAACTTAACACTACATCTAGTAGGGACGGACCGATTACTCACGGTTTACTCGAGGTTAAAACGGGTAACTTTGTTGAGGAAAGGATCGAAATATGAGCATGGAAATGGGGTATATGTGTCTTACCAGAGAGTTGTCACTGGAACTTTGATCAGACTAATAATGTTGGCGAGTTTGTAAAGACTTGATAATTTTTTTAGCATATTGTGGCTTTTACTGGATTTGATTTTTTTATGTTGCAAAATTCAACCTATTCGACTAACTCGAGCTATGCAGAACTATGTATCTCATATGTATTTTGAAACATTGCACCCAACCTATAAGATTCTATAACAGGTTAGCATGAAAAGTATGCAAGGTGGCCACCCATTCGAGAAATGCGGTAATTGAAAATCATCGATGCGTAAATTTAGACTTGTTACCAGGCTTGGTTCCACTCACTTGCTATACAAAAATTATTTTCGGTATTTTGGAATCATTAGATGTTATAATGATATTTTGTACTTGTTATATACAAGAAGACGTTGAAAGGCAAGTGTTTGACACCTATAACCAGTCAAATTCGCTTTCTGATAGTCACAATCAACGATTTTATGACTCGTGAACTCTCACGAATCATAAAATCGGTGATTGTGACACTCTGAAAACAAAATTGACAGGGTTCATATGTCAAACACATACTTCACAACCTCTTCTACAACAAGTACAACATAACTTAATAACATCCAATGATTTTATAATTCCGAAAATCATTTTTATATAGCAAGTGATTAGAAGCAACCCTGTTTGTAACTTTGCAAGATCAGTTAAATAGGGGTGCCAAGAAAACTGCGGGGGGAAATGCGGGAATTTTAAAATTGAAATAAGTAGAATGGCCACCCTAGGCATGGCTTCTAATGAAACTTGCATAATTTATAAATGATATTTTTGTGATTTCTTGATTTAACGCTATACACATTCAAACACCCTTTACTCAGAATTTGGTATTCATCACATTAGACATATCTTCATTTATGGGCAGCTTACTAAAACATTACGAACGCCCTCCTTGTGCATTTCCACAGTTGTTCTAAGCTTGTATCATTTTTGATTCGCAAGCACAATGACACTCTATGCTCATGAAAGTCGAAAAATTTCCAGTCTGGTAAATTCCGGGAGAAACGGTCGCGTCCTATCTTACTTACTATTGACATTGACTGCTTATGACAGTACGGTACATGATCTTGATTATATTCCTCACAATGAGAAGAAAAAAATACCCCTCTCGGCTTTGTGTAAAGCCAACTGAGCTGCCGCCCACCTTCTTTTTGTTGATAACGGTTTGCTAGTAGCGCGATTGTGCGAATTAAAACAGAAGCGCCTGGTGCAATCATTATCGACCAGCTATGAGGTACAATACAAATTATCACTGCCGTTGGTCGGTTTCACTGATTTTTGCTTTACACTTTTCGTACACTACCGATGGCATTATCATCACATATCTCTACGACGTTGGCGGTGACGTGCCAATGGCGAACGAGAGGGTATTGCTGCATAGGCGATTCCTCTTTGATCGCAATCGCCGTGTTTATCGGTTCGACACATTCGTACTAATGCCTTATCGCCTCTGTGGTATCAAATCGATCGAAGGACGTTAATTTTTGCACGTAATATTTCGAGAGTAGCGAATTATGCTCGATTATTTTATTTGTAACATAATCATAGAGCAGATATTTTCCACCAGCTATGACTAATAAGTCTATTGTAATCGCTTTCATTGCAGGACCACGTGACCGCATTATCTCCACGACAGATTCCCCCCTACATCACTCCAATCGCTACATCGTTAAATATTAGCCATGCGAATCAGCGGCATCATAGGCAACATTGTCACGTCACATTGGATCAGACTGATGCGATGAGGTAATAGAGCAAATACTTGGCAACTACCGCCCATCGGTTCACATACATAGTGTGGCCAGCGCGCGGTTCAGAAGACTCCGAGCAACGAAACAAAAACACTAAAACAACAAACAGTAATAGCAAACCTGAAACCTACACCAAACGCGGCACCGTTGTCGGTCGAAAAATGATTTCATTTGAGCAAACTCCACAATCCAACAACAGAGACGGCAGCGGTAATCAAAGCGAAACTACACCCAAATGTAAGTAGAGGTAAATGGGGCAAGATGGCCACCCTAAGGTTGACATCATTTTTTGTATGTAATAATTGCTATTAATTCATTGAAACATTGTCTACTGTAGTTTTTCACGTCTGTTCTAGCACACCTACGTGCATTGATTCAATTCAATGTATTACATTCTGTTTTTTTTTTAATAAGTTTGAAAAGAAAGTTTTTACATAGTTTTCCCAGGGCAAGATGAGCACCCCTACGGAGCAAGACATTATTACAATAATATTTAAAAAGAATTGCTTCTGGAACCTTGGGAAAATAGGGTCTTCATGCTAGAAAATTCAGGAATTTATCACTTCACTTTCTTAAAATCGCTGGTAGAAGTTATATCGTCGATCTGTTTTGGTACAACCTTCTACTAGCGATTTTAAGAAAATGAAGCAGAAATTCCTATTTTTTTTTCTAGCATGAAAACCCTATTTTCTCGAGGTTCCAGAAGAAAAAAAAATACAAAATATTGTTGAATGTTGTAATAAACGAAACTTAAAGACGCTTATTGTTAATTGCAAATTATCAATTTCATTCGAGCAGTTGAAAAATAACGTTTTCTACCATTCTAACTTCCAAGTAAAACAATATTTTGAGATTTTTTCTTCTTGCATCACGAGAAAAGAACCCAAAGTGGTGCGTTTCATAATAAAATAGTAATCTGTTGGTCCGATTTTGTGAAATAGCTAAAAATGCTTGACGAAGAGGTCTTATCATTCTTATCACAAAGAGAGTTATTGAATATTTCTAAATTATTTTTGAACCGTCGCATCTTGCCCCGTCTACCCCTATTAATCGGATCAAGCTCTGTTCTTCAGCGACAATATCCTATAGGAGGTAACTATGTACGCGCGCTATTCAACGTCTTGGTCAGGCATGGGCGTGCGCGGTGATGTACCTTTGGTGCTACAACAAGGGGACTGCATGTATTTTTCTTTAATTGCTAGAGCAAGTTTAGAAGGGAGATAATATTTACACCTAATAGCTACATTAATTTGCTAGAAATAGTACACAAAATGTTGCTACATTAAATTGAACAACCCCGGAAGATACAAATCTCTTATTAATTGTTATCGAAAGTGGACTTATGATCGGAACATGTCCAGTGTGGAATAACCACGGGCCAGAACTAACTTTAAAAGTGGTTGAAAACCCCATCATAATTCAAAATTTCGATATTTGTTTATTCTCTGGTGGATGATCATGTCTTTGTAATCTCCCCTTCTTTTTCTGAGTTAGCTTATCTTAGTTTTTGCCCGCCAAACGATTGATGCATACATATGTGGGACCATATTATTTAAGTTGAGTCGAGCGTCATTTCTGGTCTATTTTTCTATTACAGAAGTAACACCAAGTTAGACCATTGACCAGAACTGACGCTCGACTCGACTTACATAATAGGGCCCATAATGTTGGATCTTACAATCTTTAAATATTTTTATCGCATTATTATTGAAGTAATTGATTTAATCTACCTTTTACGATCTGGAAGCTGAGAGCTTTAATTTGTTAGATTTTTTTTTAAAGAAAGTATCTTATTAATCCAATTAATGATGGATTTAGCGAGACATTTTTTTATTTACTGTACGCAAACCCGAGTAGACGAGAATATCAAGCCAGTAGCAAGTTTGACTATTAAATAATATCAGATCATCTCAATTTGTTATTGGTTTGATCGAAATAAGAGTTAAAATATCCAAAAATATAGGCGAACAAGCCAATGGCTGAAAGCCTTGTGAAAAAAAATAAATAAAAAAAAACTGAAAAGATATTGGACTATAACTTAATAATAGCATAATAAGTTTCTGTAATATCAAACCAATAACAAAGTTCTTCCCTAGAAGGTGAAAATAACTTATTAATACTAAATTCAGATATGAAAATAGCATAACTGGCAACCTGAATATGGTATTGACGAGCCTGACATAAGAGGTAAAATGCCAAAAATAATACATCAAAAATTATCTAAGAATAGCGAACTAATAAATAATTTAGGTATTATAATAACTTACTGATAAGCAAAGTTTTTATGCCAACATACATTTTTTTTTTATTTAAAAGGTCTTCTAATATCAATCCAATAACTCTTTTAGGTGTTATGGTCTAAAAACTGAAAGATCACGTTTTGTTATTTGGGCAGTTATCGAAACATTTTACAAAATATTTCGATAACTGACTAACAGAAAAAAAAACTAGGGTTTATACTTATAGCATACCAAAATAATGTAGCATATTTATATGTTATCGGTTAGTTCAAGAGCCACATGTGAAAAGGGCATACAAGCTTTTTGTAAACAAACCTTTGTAGCTCCTTTTCTCGCCAACTGAAGGTTGCCCACGCAAACCAACAACATCATCGGGAAGGGGAAAGTTTCCCCTACCCGGTGATCTTGATGGTTTGATTTGGTGTCATATGGGTGTCGAGAAAAGGGCTTAAGGAGGTTTGTTTACAAAAAGCTTGTATGTCCTTTTCACATGTTGTTCTTGAGCTATCGATACCCTAGCCCACTGCTTGACTGTCGCAACTGCTGACCGCTTACCTTTATCAACTTGTTGAATGTGAGAGGAAAACGGGCCAACAGTTTCTTCGATTGTCAAGGTTTATGCCGTTCAGTGATAAAAATAAAACAATCTTGAGATCAGTCCGCATCGTGCTCTCTTGCCGTGTGGATCTATTTGTTTTTTGCTGAAGAAAGTGTTACTGCTACTTAAAGCTACAACAAATTTAAACAGTAATTTTCAGTGCTCAACATACCTGCAAATTTTCTACCATGTTCGACTCTTATTCCTCTTCGACCCTTGTTTGGACCCTACCCGAGGTAATCCTGCTTGTACATCGACTTGGAAAATTTCTCTTCGATCCTTCAGATTCTTATAGTAATCTGCTTGGAAATCGATTTGGAGAAAAAATATAAATTTCTATTTTATTATTCCTTCTCGATCCTTGTTTGGACCCTACCCGTGGTAATCCTGCTTGGATATCGATTTAGAAAATCCCCCTTCGATCCTTCGGATTCTTATAGCAATCTGCTTGGAAGTCGATTTGGAGAAACGTTTTACTGCCGTCATGGCGCCCAAACGCAAAAGAAAAGGGCAATCTCTTGATCCCCCTTCTGATGAAATTAATTTGAGCAAACATTTGATATGCTCAGTGATATGATGAGGGGAATTATCTATCATCCAGGCAAACTTCCAGTAAACTTTCCCGGCTTAATGCCACGAAGGAAAAGGTCCCCCCTATTGTCATAACCACTTCCAATTTCATACTCTTCGCACGGAACTTTTGAACTTCGTTAAATTTAAGTTGGCCGACAGGATGACTGTCCTGTATTGACTGAAATCTATTGGTTAATATCAAGATTCAAAATCAAAACATGTTATCAATAAGTTTTCATCAATTCAAAATAAAATCAAACCTATATTTCAATTAGTTCTATAGAATCGTAAGAAAAAAAAATTGAGATTTCAGTGATAAATGTGGATACTCTTTTTATAAAATATCAAATTTACTTTTTTTTTAGAGATATCAAAATATGAATTGTGTGTGTATGTGTGTGTATTCAATCTAACCCCCACTGGCCGGCAATGGTATTATGGAAGAAATTTGCTTACAACAATCCTTGATGTAATAATTTAAAGCACGTTTAGTCCGAGAGTTAGAAATCGATAGCTCTATTGCAGATTCAGTAACCCATTTCAGGATGCCTGGTAATTCACGTCCATTTCAAGGTTACTTTCACATACAATAAGCCCCGCATGTAAACATGGATAATGGTACTTCAAACACACTTCCAGATTTCGAAATGTGATGTTTCGACATCCGGCGCGTATTTAGTAATACATATATGGAGATATGCATTTATGATTGATTTATAATCAGATGGATTTCACCAAATTCTGTCTCCAAAAAAGCACCACTTCACTCGTGGTAATCTAAAAATTTTTCCGCGTTGGTTTTACAAACTTCTTCTTCTTCTTTCCTTTATTTAACGTCGGTCTCTGTTCCGCAATCTAGTGCCAATCACCGACAGACATCGATTGCCATCCATTGACGGCAATCGAATGTACAGGAAGGCAGCTTCCACACCTGCGTAGGATATCGCACACATTCAACCACACATGGGCCGGGACCAACGGCTTTACTTCCCTTCCGAATGAAGACGTGACCAGAGATTTTTTGCCTAACACCTTATTCGCGTGCATCCTCCGAAAGGCAGAACTCCAGCACCAAGAATATAAAAAAAAATACTCGGTAAAACTCTTCTTGGGAGGGAGGCAAAGCACCAAAAACAAGCGAAAAGAAAAACCGATCAACGCGATACCACAGCTACTCGAAACAAATTCTTGTCCCAGAGTTTTCACGTTAATTACAATATCACTAAAAAGTTTCTTATACCGTGATGGATCCTAATTTACGCTTATCCACACTCGAAAACTAATCTTTGATCGATCACAGTAGAACTTATTATATTAGGCAGCTTATTCTCTAAAAAAAAAAAATCAAACAACGCAGGTAGCGCCAAATCTTCTGATGCTTGCAAACATGATGACTCATGTTTTCCTTCGCGATTCTAAAACTTCTCGGAAAGTGAGAAAACCACCAATCATACACGTATAACCGTCTGGGAGGCAAAGTGCCAGCGCTAATCCAGCAAATGCAGCCGAAAACTATGAAAGCGAACGCACGCACAAAACAGAGAGCAAAGTTTAAACACAACCGTATCCAAAGGGGTTCGAAACTGCACTCATATCAAAATATGAATTCAACCGAAATTTAAAAAAACATCATTGAATATCATTTTGACAGTATTTTGATATCCGACTTTGCTCCGGTAACACACATTTTTCACTTATGGCACCAAAACTGAATGTCTGTTCAAGATTGTCTTGAAAAGTCTGCCCAGTGGTGAATCCCTGGATCAGATCAAAGATGAATTGACTAAGTTACTTGGAGTTGAGCCATTCACGATTCACGCAACGGGGTTTCTAATGATTTCTATATAGTTCACTTCATGTCTAGTTAACTAAACAATCCTAAGGCCTTAGAAAAAGCTAGCCTTATGCTCCATGTCCGAGTGAAGTGGGAACACTTCAGGTAGACTGGTGGAAATTTCTAAAATCTCACCCAGTGCCGTAAATGCCAGGGATGGCGTCATGGAACCAAAAATTGCTACATGCCAACTAAATGCATGAATTCCTCTCACGCAAAGGACGACTATCCTGTGAAGGAAGATCATAAGATATCTAAATGTTCAAATTGTGGTGAAACCCACAAATCCATTTTTTTGTGAAATACAAGACTCGCAAAGCGATCCTACAATCTCGTTCCAAGCGATAGGTAAGAAATGCTCCACGTTCTCGCCCAGGTACTAATTCCTCTGATGTTAACAACGGTCAGCGAGGAACAAATAGTACGTTAGCTGACAAGCTTCAAATTGTTTATCTATACCTGCTGCTAACAATGTTCAGCAAGCTAATGGAGCTACCTATGCTCCTGATAGAAATCAAAATTCTAGCCAACATAATTCTAACGGAAATTTTGATAATTTTGACTTAGGAAGCATTACTGCTTCTAAAATGGAATTTTTACAGAAATCATTAGTTGCTTCGGTTCGGACTTCGGTTCTGATCACCTTCCAGTAACTTTTGAAATATCCCAAGAAATCATTGCTAATCCCAACAGCTCTACTTTTAATTACCATAGAGCTGATTGGGAGCAATATCGAACATTTTTGGAATATAGCTTTGATCCAAACATTCCTTTGCAAACCAAAGATGAAATTAATTACACTCTTGAATTTCTGACTACTTCTATAGTTGAAGCAAGAGCTGCCTCAGTACCAAAATGCGAGGTTAAATTCGATTCAATTATAATAGACGATGATCTTCAGCTCTTGATCCGTCTGAAAAATGTCCGTAGGAGGCAATATCAAAGAATTCGCGATCTTGTCATGCAAGTTATCTGGTGGGATTTGCAAAAACAAATTAAAAGTCGATTCTCTGCCCTGAGGAACAAAACTTTTGAAAACAATGTTTCGAAATTAGACCCGAGTTCTAAACCTTTTTGGAAGTCCACAACAAACTTCAAAAAACCTCAAAAGCCTATTCCAGCGCTCAAAAAAGGTGGTAAAAATTTGATCACAAATTCGTAAAAAGCTCAGAAACTAAGCTATTCGAGAATTTCCATAATTTCTGTTTGGGTCATAAAAAATTCTGTAGGTACATCAAGAGGGAGAGGGGATTCGTCCTCTCTTGCTCCCCTCTGGCTCCGCTTATGCCCTCGTTTCTTACGAAAATGGCAATACAATCTAGCAGCAGTGTTGTGCATTATTAACGATTTGTTTTCCTGCCTACGTCTGTGATTCTAAACATGCCTGACCGTATTCGCTCCAGCGAAATCTTTGATTTCTTGTTTGTGATTCTACTGAGAAAGCATAGTGTAAACGGACACGAAACGAGAGCCGAACCATTTCTCTACTAGGCAGTGGAGATCTAAGTGAATGCAATACAAATATTGAATTTATAAATTGGTCATGATTTCTTTTGACCTTCTAATAGCGGTGTTCTGTTTTTATTTATTTCCAGAAACAAAACCTCAACGCAACACAACTGGATGAAACAAACTGAAAAGTTGGAGTTCAGTTCGGAAGTCAGGACAAGTACGTGCTCCAAATTAAATTAAGGTATCGCCAAGAGGAAAGTACAAATTTAGTTAGAGATTCCAATTTGCGGTTGAAGGCACTAGTGGATTGACAGAATGGCACCCAGTCAAAAAGTAACGAAAAAATGGGAAATCTTCGCTGGTCGAAACAAGTTTTACTGCGACGGGTACCTGATGACCGCTCCCAACTCTGGAGTATTCTATTTTACAGTAGTGCTCATCACCGGAACTAGCGGACTTTTTTTCGCATTTGAGTAAGTGTTTGCTACTGGTTCATCGTTCGACCCTGTAACTAACAAGCTTAACCTTTTGCAGTTGTCCCTTTCTGGCAGAGCGGATAACACCGGCTATTCCAATCATCGGTGGTATTTTATTTGTGTTCACGATGAGCTCTCTCTTCCGCACATCCTTCAGCGATCCCGGCATCATTCCACGTGCTTCCCAAGACGAAGCCGCCTACATCGAGAAGCAAATCGAAGTGCCAAACTCGCTCAACAGCCCGACCTACCGGCCACCACCTCGTACCAAGGAGGTCTTCGTCAAGGGCCAGACGGTGAAGCTGAAATATTGCTTTACCTGTAAAATCTTTCGACCACCGCGAGCTTCGCACTGTAGTTTATGTGATAATTGCGTTGATCGGTTCGATCATCACTGTCCATGGGTACGTTTTGTCTGCTGGAGATTTTGAAAATGTGAACTTGAAGTAACTTGTGATCCATCATTGTCTTTGCTAGGTGGGCAACTGCGTGGGAAAACGAAACTACCGTTTCTTCTACATGTTTATCGTCTCTCTCGCATTCTTAGCAGTATTTATATTTTCCTGTACAACAACGCATATAGTTTTGTGTAAGTAGCGAGTGAATGTATGCTTGCTTAAAGGATTAAAACAAAAACTATATTCTGCATTTACAGTATTTAAAGACGAGGATCAATTCTTTGACATTGTCAAAAAGACTCCGTTCAGTGTGATAATAGCAGTAATTTGTTTCTGTTCAGTGTGGTCTGTGATCGGCCTGGCCGGCTTCCACACCTACTTAACCACCAGCGACCAGACAACGAACGAAGATGTGAGTGATTCATTTAACAACGCAACCTTTTGAATACTGTGTTTGATTTACCAATTCTCGCTTTCCCACAGATCAAAGGTTCTTTTACCTCCAAAGGTGGTCAGCAGGCAATCAATCCCTATTCGCAGGGTAACATTTGCCTGAACTGTTTTCACATTCTTTGTGGTCCGATTACTCCATCGCTAATTGATAGGTAAGTATCAGCTAAGCTGCAAAAACATGCAGCAGCACACTGTACTGTGCAAAGGCATTTCTCACGTTCTTACGATTTCCGATGATGTTGTTGCAGGCGAGGGATAGTGACAGACGAGTACCGAACGCAGATGCAACCACCCGATAAATACAATAGCGCACCGGTGCCACCGCTGGTCGTGATGCAACCAGGACTGGATACACAGAACAAACCGTACAGTTTAGAGGTATTTAAATAGAGTATAATTTACATTAGAATAAGATTAAAATAATCAGCCGCCCGGTTAGGGGTGAGGTGATTCTTGTTCACATTTTGCTTCGCTTATGACATTTTACATGCAAATGTGGCGGCACTTGTCACCTTCGTGATTTTTAAAATTCAGTTACTTACTTAAGTTCCCTTACCATTTAGACTAAGGTTACAAAACAGTTGTCTAAATCCAGTAACTTGGAAGCTTGGAAAAATTTTCAAATATCATACTGGGAAAACATTTCAATTTATTTTGGACAAGGCAATTGCTCAATTTGGTATACAACAAAGTTTTCCGAGAGCAGGTGTACGATAGTTGCTCGCAATGGAACGTGAAGATCGTCATCGGCGACGTAAATGCTCTGGTAGGACTAGGACGGTAGGCAATGCACATACCGGTAATCAGCCTGCACGTATCGAGCGATAACGTCCAACGATGCGTGAATTTCACAACCTTCCGTGATATGATAGTCAGAAGTACCTTTTTCGCAAAGATATCCACGAAGCCATCTGGAGATCGCCTGACCAACACACAGAGACCACCTCGACCACGTTCTAATCGATGGGAAATTCTTCTCCGACACCATCAACAACCGCGCGTATCGCAATGCGAACATAGATTCGGTCCACTATTTTGTTGCAGTATTCAGGCGCTCATATTTTCGACGGTGTACAACACTCGTCGTAGTGAGAGCTTTCGATGTCTGTACCATTTTTTCATTGGTATAATCGTGTGGCAAGTCCAATCATACTTCTAAGCCCAGAAAAATCAGGAAATTTTCCAACCAGAAAAATTCCTAGACCGGACCGGTAGTTGAACCCAGCCACCTCCAGCATGATCTTGCTTTGTAGCTGCGCCTTTACCGACTTAGCTAAGGGAGGCACTGTAACCACAGATCGAAGAAATTACTGGTTTGTGAATGCAAACAGTTGCCTAGTAGAGGAGAAGAATGCTGCAGCACTGCATGAGATTGAATGTGGAGCGAAACAGACAAAACTTGGTTTTTCGAAGAAAGAATGACCAGCACTCGTCACGAACGAGTGTGAGTAGATTGTGAGGTGGAAGCAATACTATGACGAGTACCGAAACGGCGATACAGCAGAAAACTGTGGTGCGGTAACATATCTTGGAGCACGCGTAAAAGACGACAGGCTACCGGCAGATTATGCAGAAATGCCGCGAGAAGAGTTGCGACCTATCACAATCACGATCGTCAAACAGCTGATGGTAGTAACGCTTTGTACATTCCTATCAATGTGCTCGTCGAAGCTCTCTCCATGACCATCCATCAAGTTGACGAAAGAAGTAAAAAGCAACTGGTGAATGTCGTCTTCGGTTGTGATCCATCACCGATCTGGTCATTCCCGACAATCACGACACTCATCTATGTTCGTTTTGAAGCAGTTGCTGCTTTGCTTGCTTATGTGAGTGTGTTGGTGAGTGAACCCAACAGCTTCCGTTTAATGTTGCCTGCTTTGTTTGTAACTCACACAGTCGCGCCTGCAGAGACGAACTTGGAATGCGTAGGCTTTCTTCTGTCGTTTCGCTTTTTCTCATGATCGTACTCCAGAAGTCTTCACTGTTTTCGTTGTGCTTTTCATCATCAGCAGCGAGTGTAACGTTTTGCTCACAAGTGACCATTACTGGTAATTGTTGTTTGCCATGGCTCTACCACTCACTGCGTGACAAAACGTTCTGTCAGCGATAGTCGGTTGTTGCGAAGACGAGTGTCAAGTGAGTGTCATGATATTTTGCAACACTGGCCGCGAGTACAACGTGCCCAGGGGTTGAAACGGTTGACGTTTTTTACTACACTCGCTTCGTTGTCGTACGTCACAGTCTGTTTTTATTTGTACTCTTATGTTCTACCGTCGTCTCTTTTACGCAACACAAACGGTAGAAAAACATTCGAGCAAAAGAAAATTATCAAATAACTATCATATGACATGTGTGATTTCGTTCTAATTCTTCAATTTGTTGTAAATTAATCCAACACGAAAAAAAGGTTAAAACCTGCTGACTTTGAAATTCACTCAACGTGAAACTAAACATGTTTCATTCAACTTAATATCCATGTCCAATAGACCAATACTTGAAGAATATTTTGGAGAATATCAGGCTTCAATAAGTGCCCTCTAGTCGAAAATAATATACGGTAATACATACATACATAATACACATAATTGGGAATACATTTGATGTACACTGAACTTATCGAATTGAGCCTCATTCTGAAGACGTTCCTGTAATAATTGTTTAAGTTGACACGTCTGAAGTGCCGCCATTTGTAATCTTTGATTTTCGAGTAAGGTCGTCAAATCCTGCTTGATTTTCCAGAATTTTGCGTGATGTAATGCACGTTTACGTTACGTAGTGCATGCTTCTCTTGTGTTGTTTGCCTGTAGCCACTTCCTGTCAAGTTGACATTAATATCCAGGTTAAACGCCGTGATCTGAGCATATTAAATTTTATCCGTTTTGACGAAATGAATCTAAGGCAGTTCTTAAATGACTTTCTAACGGTGATGTTTGAAAATTACACCATGATGTTTTGTGAATGATGTAAATGATGATAATTTTTGTCGATGTGGTGATGTGGACGAAAATTTTAAACAATGCATATTTCAGAAAAGTTCAAGTGGAGGCAAACGTAATTTTCAACTGCTCGAAAGAAATGGTTGGTAAATCATATATTATATCATGATATGACGTTTCCTACCGCTCGAACACTGGAACAATATTTTTCGATTTTTTTTCTTCTAGAACTTCGAGTAAATAGGATTTATTTATGATAGGTCCAAAAAGTTCGAAAATTATTGTATCATTTTCTTAAAATCAGTGGTAGAAGAACGTCCCAAACTGGCCGACTATATGACTATATGCAGTGCTTTCTCGATTTTGTCAGCCTTTTTTTTGCCCGATTTTGTCGGCCTGCAGATTTCACTAAACATGAATTCTGCTCTGAATAATTTTTATTCTTACACTTCGCTGAAATGTGAATGTTAGGGGAAGCGGGGGTCAAATTTGTTTACTGGGGTAAAATTAACAATTGACGATTTTAAATGCTTATTCATTCAAATATCAATCAATTCAACTTACAGGTCTTTTAACCAATGTACCTTTTACATTTTAATTCATTTACATTATTATAATATGAATGATTTCCCCGTTTAAAAGGTTAATTGTTCATTTTACTCTCTGTTCTCCTAATAGAAATTATTAGTTTTGAATTGCTGTTAGCTGGAAAACCAAATTTTACCACGGAAAACCTATGTTTCTGTTTTTGTAATTGTAAAAGCTTCATTGTCACCTACATTCATTATTAAAAAATAAAAAAGAGCATTACATAGGGGAAATGGATGTAATGTCGGCCTAAATGCCCCTAATTGAGCCCATACATAAATTTCAGCAATCGACTAAATTAAAAATAGCGACCAAAAATATCCATTAGTACCGTCCAAATGACGCGATCAACTAGTTAAAATTGATAAATAGCAGATTTTTATCGATGTGCCCTATCTTAGATACATAAGCCAACATTAGAGCCATTTCCCTTATTTCATTGCATTGTACATAAAAGTTTCTATTGACTTTCCATTTTCAAGAGATTTCGTCATCGCAAATTCTCGAATTCGAAGAATTGTCAATTGAAAGGGACAATGCTTCAGCCTAATCAGCCCTATCAGCTTTTGTTTTGGATTCTCGAAGAAGCAGTTTGAATTCCGGAAAGGGAGATATACGGTGGATGCAATTCGGACAGTGGTCGAGAGAGCCGAGAAGGCGTTCAAACATAATCGACGTCAAGAATGCGTTCAACAGCACCAGCTAGCAGGCCATCGCCGAAGGAAGAGGTGGAATTGTTCGGTCGCCAACAATCGACATGATTGGTAAATGAATGAACGGAGCGAAGCTATAGACAGCCCACTACAAAACAAAAGTGCTATTGGTCAGTAACTGTAAAGCGGTGCAGCGGGCAGAAATCACCGTTAGAGAGCACGCCATTGCTTCGAAGCGCGTGTCGAATATGCCTGTGAGAATGCTTCGAAGGCCATCATGCCGAACAACTCTTTTCCCAGCAATAGCTAGAAAGGGTTCTGACCAGTGTGTCGTCGGCGATACTGAGGTATGGAGTTCCAACTTGGGTTGCAGCACAGGAAACGAAGCAGAACCAAAGAAAGCTGAGCAGTACGTTCCGGCTCATGGCCATGCGAGCCGTGAGTGTGTACAGAACCATCTCGTCGGAAACAGTATGTGAATGATCACTGTCGACATCACCCTGGCGGAGGACAGCGAGTGCTACAGTCGGAGAAAAGTCGGAAGATTACGGAAAGTGGTGAAAGCGGAGTCGTTAGGAAAGTGGCAAAAGGAGTAGAACACGGTGGAGAACGGTAGATAGACACATCGGTTAATACTGATTTTTTGACCTGGATGAACAGAAAACACGGAGAATTAACCTCCACCTGATGCAGTTTCTGTCTGACCACGGCTGCTTCAGGAAACACTTGCATCGGCTCGGACACGCAGCGTTGACCCTCTGTTCGGAGTGTGGTAATGTGAACGAAATGCCGGAGCATGTGGTCTTCGTCAGTCCAAGGGTCGACGCAGTGTGAAGGGAGATGCCCGTCCTTAACGTGGAAAATGTCGTCGAAATGTGTCGAGAGGAAGGCACTTGGAATGCCATCAACAGAGCAGTCACGCAGATTATGTCGGAGCTGCAGCGTAAATGGACATAGAAGCAGCGATCTAGCAACGCCAGCTAGCACTGAGAGTATGAGAAGTCCTCATGCACTTCATGCACTGCATCCTTCACCTCCCCAAAGACCTGAGAACGTGGCCGGCGTCGGTACTGATCTATAAATAGAATGAATCAATGAACCTGTACTTTGAAGATGGAAATCTTATCCCAAGCTCCATCTATGTGGTTCTCTGTGTAATTAGACGGTTTGGGTGTTTTTCGCTTTAGAAAGCACTGTGATTTCAATTCGTGACGAAGCGGATCGCCTCAACGGCGCCGGTGGTGTAGTGGTAAGCGTGATTACTTCTCACCCCAGCAGGCCTGGGTTCAATCCCAGTCGGCGCCGCCGGGATGTTCTGATCATCTCTGATCACGCCTTCTTTCGGATGGGAAGTAAAGCCTTCCTTCGGATGGGAAGTAAAGCCGTTGGACCCCGGTTCATGAGTTGATGGGTCGATAGGTAGGGTCCAGGTGTGGGAGCTGCCTTCCTGGCACGTCGGTAGCATTGGTGCTCAGCACGGAAAACAAGATCGACGGAAAAAACAAACCAAAGGAAAAAAAAGCGGATCGCCTGTTATAGAGAGTCATCTTGATCATTACTTTTCACTAGCGATTACGCTGTAGTTAAATCACTATGATTTTCACTCGACGAACTGTATTGCTTAGTTTAGAGAGTCCTGATCACTACTTTCCACTTGCACACTAAAATATGAACATACCTTTCCCCCGAAAAAAGTCGACTGCGCCAATTGGTACCTCGAATAAATAGTGGCCGGTTTCAGCTAGAATCGCTCGGTGTTTTTTTTTTGTTTTTCTAAAGCCGACCACTTACTTGACGACCACATAATTTATCAAATCGATTTCCATCGAGCATCATGTTACCGGGTCATAGTGGTTTTCTGTAATGTATGGAGCTCGGTGGCCTAATGGCGACCGTTTTTGCTTACTGAGCAAAAAATCGTGGGTTATATCCCAGACTTCATTACAATACTGAGTTGATTTACTTCTTCTTATTCTAGGCTTTTAGGCTTATGTAGCGAGCGTTTTGACGACTCTCTAGATGTTCTTAGTGTTCTAGGTGCACTTCCGAGCTTTTTAAATATGCCAACACCAATGCACGATCTTGTATACTGTATGGAAAGCACAATATCATACTTTATGTCCAGGGAAGGTGAGAAAGTTTTCAGCACTATTGAAGTATGCTTTGGTCGCGGGTGGACGTGTTTATTTTTCGCTCGTTTCGGCTAAACAGCCTAGACAATACAGATTTCATATGATGAAAATTCAGCAGCTACTGAAATTTCGGCTTTATGACGTCCGGCCTTTTTCCACATGGGACTGATATGCGATTATAGGTAGACACACGAATATACCATAAAAAACACATCAGGAACACACGAAATGCCATCTTGCCCTACAATCCCCTAATGATGATCATCGCTACTTTCTGTCTTTTCACTTTGCGTAACCGGTACTAACATTGCGGTATATTTGAGGCAATCAACATAAAAGTCGGACAATTGATTGATTGATAGATTGAGGTGAAATGCACCGCAAGAAATAGTAAGTTTTAATTTCTCTCACATGGGTAACACATTTTATTGTGGGTCACTTCCAACTGGAAAACGTGCATCAATCTCTTTGCCGGGGAAATATGGTGTAACCATTATTTATAACCGTTGGATAATGAATATTAAATTATAGCATCGAAAATGCAATTTTATATAGCTGGTTAATTGAAAGCAAAAGTGAAATTCATCCACTCGGTATATGGCGAATAAAATGTGCCGAAAACCTAAACAGTAAAGCTTCGCTTGCTCATATTTTTGGTTTAATAAATATGTATGAAATTTATGAACCGTCACATATGCCGCACAGGTTTATACGATGCTTATAAAGACATCATTAAAAAAGCGGAATCTTCCTTTGCGGGGTTTATTTTATCTATCTGCTCTATTTTACTGAGCAGCACATTGCTGAAAACAATTCGCGGTTTAATCGATCATGTTTTTTCTTTCTTTCATTTCAGACTGAAACTCAAAACTCAAGTGCGGGTGTATTTCGGCAGCGAAGTTACGATAACTTACAGAATGGTAAGTCGCCATCCATCAAATCTTCACTTAGCAGTATCAGTAATATAACCAATTTAAATGTGACTAACTCGAATCAAGCTAATAATAGTAATAACTGTAGCCAAATTAAACATCTCCAAATGTCACAATCTCCATCACAATACAATAATCTCTCGTTGTCTTATGTAAATCTTTCGCAAAAAACGCAACCACAACTGTACCATTCCGCGACATGCAATGTGAATCTGTCGAATTTCACGCCTACCTTCAACACCTCTGTGTCGAATAATGTTCCGAATAACAATACATACCAACAAACGCCACGCTACATGCAACCGCAACACCACTTGCCGGCAGTGCCGATACCAACCAATTTCAAGTACTTCGCTCCGCAATCCAAGTACAATACGTACAGTGAAAGTCAGAATCAGCTCGTGCCCCAAGTCTCGCCAGCGATTCTTCAGACTAACCAAACCAACGATACCCAACAGCAACAGCAGCAACGACTTCAACATCAACAACAACAGCACCAGCAGCAACAGCAGCAAATCAATATTAACATCAATCTAACCCTACCCAGGTATCCCTATCATAAAAACCGTGCCATCGGTAGAAAGTCATCTCACGACCTGCAACTGCACGATCAATCCAGCAAGTTGTTCTACTCAAACTATCAACCCTACTATAGTCACTCCAGTACCAATAGCCTCAATAATAATAGTAATGCACCGCCGCACAACCTTCTTGCCTTAACCGACTCGTCCTCGTCCTCTACCACTACTATCTCCTCCTCTTCCACCTCCACGACCTCTTCGCTTGAGCAGAGCAACATGCTTCAGTCGGGTTCTTCATCATATCTGAACAGCTACGACACAATGTCCGAGCAAAATCCCAACTCCCTTCCGCACACGTGCCCCAGTAGTCCTCGGACGCGTTGCGCCAGTCCCAGCTGTAGTGAATTGGATCCAATGCTTCAGAAAACCAAACAGTATCACCATAAAAACTATAAAATCTATAAGAAACAATATCAGCAACAACAGCAGCAAGCGCAACAACATCTTGTACATGCGTCCGGGACGAATCCAATATCTCCGCAGCCTTCGTTTAGTCAGTTTAGTCCAAGTTTCTGGAGTGCCAATAGCAATCGAAGTAGCGTTATCAGCACCGGGACGCTCAGTTCGATAGGCTTCGTTGGCAGTGCCAATGGTAGCGGTGGTGGTGGAGGTGGTGGTGGTGGCGTCATCGGCAGCGGAGACTGCAACAGTAGTATCGTCGGTGGGGGTACCTATCAGAATTACGGTGGCGTTGGCATCATCGCTAGTAACAGCAACAGCAGCCCGTACGCGCAACGACGCACCGACAAGCAACGGTTCTCCAACGTGTACGAGTACAAATTCAATAACTTTGATCTCAATTCGATACACGAGGACGCCACAAACGAAACATAACACATATTGCATTTTTAGTTTTGTAATTTTTTATAATCTTGGTCGAGGGCGTGCTTAGAGCCGACAGATTCGTTTTGTTTTGTTTTATGCATGCACTCGCTTGATCGCTTCGGATGGTATAGAGAGGTTTCGGAAAGGTTTGCATTGCTTACATTTTGATTGTTAATCAGTTGGATCTTTTGCATTCGAATACTGCACTGTCCATTAGAGAATGTCCCGCAACGTGGAACCACATTTCTCCGGTTCCTATTTGTTGAAATAGTTGTTACTTGACGTGTCGCAAGCGTTGAACATTGTAGGGTTTTTGAATCATTTTTGCGCGTATCTAAGGCTCTGGAATGATACCTTAACGAGCGCGTATATACCAGTATTTTAGATGTTTCTGAGGGAGTGCTACGAAAGGCCTAATCACAAAAGGCCGAAAGAAACTCGGAAAAGCGACAAAGTGGACCGGTGCGAGCGCGGCCACTTTGTCGATTTTCTGAGTTTTTTCGGCCTTTCGTGTTCTCGATCTTTTGTTAATTTGTTTTTAATAAATTAAATTACATTATTAAAGTAAAGTTACAATAATTATTATTCTGCCTGAAATAAAATATAATGAAAGCTACTTTATAGCCATTACATTTCCGTAATGAAAGTAAAAAAAAAACTAAAAAATTGGGTATTTTATTTTTATTTGTTTGAGTGTTTACTGACGATTTAATGACAAGATGGCTTCGTTTAATGTGAATGCGGACCATTCAACAAGGCGACTCAGTTGTAAGAGTAGGAAAGCTCCAGATACTAAATGAGAGAGAAAGTGATAGTTAGCTTTATTTTCCGGATCTTTGAGTATTCAATGACGATGATGGCTTCGTTCAAGATGAAATTCAATATGGAATCAAAAATCGTCATTAACAGCGGTATTGCTCTTAATCCGTTTTGCTGAACGTTCTAGTTACACTCATTCAACTGCTTGCGGAATTCGCCACAAAATAAGATTTTTGCGTATGCGTGAATAAACCGTTCACCTCTATCGCATCTCTCATTTCCTTACCTTTCTCTTACTGTTAAATTTACGTCAACGCAACGCAAACGGATCTGATGTGGGTGGGCCTTAACAGATTGTTAGAATACGGTTTTCAACAAATTCAGATTTAGATAAATTTTCGGCCTTTTTGGGTTTTGGCCATCTGGATTTCGGCCTTTTCGACCTTAGATCTTTTGTACTTCAGCCTTCTGTGCGTTTCCCGTTTCTGAAGCATTCCCACGAACTAGAATCAGACAGGACTCCAAGATTTCCGGAAGTTTCGCTATGTTGGTAAATATTTTACATCTTAGTTTAACCGTTATGTGATCGACAAAAAAAACACCTTAAAGTGCTCGACAAGGGTACCCGGGTACCCACAAATTGAAATACTTGCTACTGTGGCCTATTGGGACCGATTCTGAATCTTTTGGCACCAATGGATTCAGAAACTTATCTTCTTTCTGGACATTGCCAACAATGTCCATCCGGAATAGTCTGGTTCCCGGAAATCCGGATTTTCTGTATAATGTTCCAGAACTAAGCATTTTCTTGGCACTTTCGCAAGAATTTTGAACGAATCGGTATCAAAGTATCAGCATTTCCTTCAAAAACAATTTCAGCTTACTTGAGGACCAGTTTAAGGTTTCTCCCCGGAACGGCCATTCCGGCGCAGGTTCCCGTAGGGCCTCTAGTGGCCATAGAAGTGTTTTTGAAGAAACCCCTGCAATATAGGTATCCAAATTCAAGAATTTACAGCAGGAGACTGTTTATCATAATTTTGTGGTCATCCGAAGAATTCTCCCCGGGACGGCCATTCCGGCGTAGGTTCCTGTAGGGCCTCTAGGGACCATAGAAGTGTTTAGGAAGAAACCCCTGCAATATGGGTATCCAAATTCATGAATTTACAGCAGGAGACTGTTTATCATAATTTTGTGATCATCCGATGGATTGCCCCCGGAACGGCCATTCCGGCGCAGGTTCCCGTAGGGCCTCTAGTAGCCATAGAAGTGTTTTTGAAGAAACCCCTGCAATATGGGTATTCAAATTCAAGAATTTACAGCAGGAGACTGTTTATCATATTTTTGTGATCATCCGATGGACTCTCCCCGGGACGGCCATTCCGGCGTAGGTTCCTGTAGGGCCTCTAGGGACCATAGAAGTGTTTGGGAAGAAACCCTCGTAATATGGGTATCAAAATTCATGAATTTACAGCAGGAGACTGTTTATCATAATTTTGTGATCATCCGATGGATTGTCCCCGTAACGGCCATTCCGGAGCAGGTTCCCGTAGGGCTTCTAGTGGCCATAGAAGTGTTTAGGAAGAAACCCTTGCAATATGGGTATCACAATTCATGGATTTACAGCAGGAGACTGTTTATCATAATTTTGTGGTCATCCGATGGATTGTCCCCGGGACGGCCTTTCCGGAGCAGGTTCCCGTAGGGCCTGCAGTGCCCATAGAAGTGTTTAGGAAGAAACCCCTGCAATATGGGTATCCAAATTCATGAATTTACAGCAGGAGACTGTTTATCATAATGTTGTGGTCATCCGATGGATTGTCATCGGGACGGCCTTTTCGGAGCAGGTTCCCGTAGAGCTTCTAGTTACCATAGAAGTGTTTGGGAAGAAACCCCTGCAATATGGGTATCAAAATTCATGAATTTACAGCAGGAGACTGTTTATTATAATGTTGTGGTCATCCGATGGATTGTCCCCAGAATGGCCATTCCGGAGCAGGATCCCGTAGGGCCTCTAGTGGCCATAGAAGTTGTTTGCAAGGATGTTCCTACAATATGGGTGTCAAAATTCATGAATTTTCAGCAGTAGACTATTCATCGTATTTTCGTGGCTATCTGACAGATTGTCCCCGGAATGGGCTTGGATAGAATGCTCTTTATTTTTTTAAATTTAAAAAAAAGAAACTTTTCTCATTATTTGTTTGTATCTGACTAAATGTCCATGGAATGGCCATTTTGGAACAAGTGAATAATCGAGTGGTGGTGGTAAAAATTCTGGATGAAAACTCATGTAATTTTTATTTTCTTGAGTTTTCTTGGCGTTCAACCTCTCTAGGGGTATAAACGTTGTGGATTAATGTTGTATGGAGTTTTTGCAGTCTCTGCTGTGCTAGAAATAAACTGACATTTCTATGGACTTTTAATCCTAATAAAAATTGTTAAAAATTTACAAGCACTTAAAAAGCAAACGAAAAAAAATAGCAGTTATCGCAAATTTCTTGGCAGAGCTGATTGCACACAGGTCTTGAGCATGACTTCACATCTTCCTGGTCTTCCTACACTTGATGTCTTCACTTTTGCAGATATGACAGATGCCAACTTGTGGCTCCCGTCCGGACGGATCTCGTTCAACTGGAGTAGAACCAACAATCAATACGAAACTAACGATTTTAAATTGGCTCACTACTTGACTAGCCTATTGGTCCCAAGCAAACGTTTAACGTATCCCATTCTAGTCAAAATTCTACTACTACACAATGTTTGTTTTGATTCGCTATGAAAGTTTGACAGATAAAATGGGGTGTTAGGGGATTTTCCTATGTTTCG